TGTCTCCCATGGATCCCGCCTCAGATTATTCTCCCATCTACGTCTAGTTATCTCCAGTGGTCTCTTCCCCTCAGGCTTCCCAAATAGTGGACCCAACCAACCAGATGGCTTACCGAACCCGAATGTTCATCACCGAATTAACCAAAGCCCTCCACCGGACCCTGTCCTGGACCAACAAAATCCAGTCTCCTTCGACTCCTATCTCCCATAGATCCCGCCTGAGATTATCCTCCCATCTACGTTTAGGTCTCCCCAGTGGTCTCTTCCCCTCAGGCTTCCCAACCAATACTCGGTGCACACCTCTTGTACCATCCATGCGGGATGTAGCTATTAACACTGAGAAATTAATATTATTAAAAGGGATCCAAACATTGGTCGTAAACATCTCTTTTATCACACTAATAAGATGAACGTAAACTGGATCTTTAATAATCTGACGTGAGAGAAAATCCAATAAAAAGATTTTGCAGTAGCAGAAGTGAGGATGATTGAGAAAAATGAATCTCGACATTTTTATATAATTCCTGTGGAGGGTTTAAGACAACGTGAAACATTAATTTTCGATCAGTAATGCAGTCACATACCTCACAGCAAGGAGACAGATGTTTTAAAAAGCGTAAATCATAGAGTGCTTTGTTATCTAAATATGTAAAACATAATCACATGAATGTGATCATTAAATATTCCTGGATCTATGCCCTTTAGAATAATATATGAACGCTACATGGGACCATTTTCATGGATATATACTTCTGAACTAAAATTTGCATAAGCTGTGTTAAAATGTCCGTGCTATCTCTCGCGTAATACAGATGTTATCTTAAGTATAAAGCACTCTCTACGTCTGTGTCTTAATAGACAAACAAGAAGGACTTGTTTGAATGTAAAATGAGTTCAGTAAGTTATGCGAAATTTAACGACTGTGTAATATTATTTTACATAATCAATACTGTACACAGAATATTAAATGTTAATCTTAACATACTTATGACGTCAGTATTGAGTGATATTTGTACAAAGGAAGCAAGCTAATTTCCATTTAAAGGGACATACTTCATATGCCTTCCATTTTACACCCAGAAGATTAATCTAGCCTTAAAGAGTCGTAGGCCACAAGGTTCAAATTTCGTCCTGGCGTGTTCTCAGTGCTTAGTTCCTGAGCTGCGGTAAAAACCTTTAGTGAGAATCGTACTCAGGATATTTGCTCGTCACAAGTTCCCCTTCTCAAAATAAAAATCTTGAGGTCAGCTTATAAACTTGTGGCGCGTAGTTTGATGTACAATACCTTTTACTTTAAATCATCATTTTTTAAAATTTTATCTGCTTCGTTTACTGAAATTACTTTTACTCCGAGCTGCGTCCAGTTACAAACCTAGCGGGAAAAGAGATCGAGGTCGACCACGAAGAAGATGGGAAGATCAATTTGAAGCCGGAACAGGTAGTGCCTAATTCTTGATGATGATGATGATGACTTTTACTCCGAGACCAGCCGAGTGCCTGGTCAGAGATGAAGCCTTAAATATGATCGATGTATGATAACGTGTTGCTCGGTCAGCGCTATCGCAGACCACGTGGGGCGGTGATAGATAAGTTAGGAGCAGTGGTAGAATGGTGATTCGCAGGGAAAACTGAAGGGTTGGAGATTAAAAGTGCTTCATTGTCATTGCTTAAATATGAATTTTTTGTTGAAATCACACGGTCCTGTTTGTGCTAGTATGGCTCGTACTTCTAATGAATTAAATATATTACTATTTCGAGCGTGAGTAAAGTCTCTTATTATCCTGTATTTAAGGAGAACGTGTTTTATAAACACCTGTAGGCCTATATTCTGTCAGTGTTTGGTCTTAATCTATCAACAGTCGCATGTTATTTTTCAATCTGAAAAACGTGCTTCTACCAAGTATCGTTTATTTGGCAAAAGATCGTTAGAATGTACACTCACGAACTTACCACCTTGACATCCATGCATTTCTTAAACTCGAAATGAAAGCAGCACCTTGAGTCCGTAAGGAGATTATTCACCTTTGTGTTGTGTGTAGAGGTTTTGTGTCATGGTGCTTCAAGACTGGAATTTACTAAACTGGAAGTTCGAATTTATAGAAAAGTTTACGAGAAAAAATCCTGCATTGACCACATGGTACAAGGACCTTCGCTTCAAGGTCCTGAATATAACCTGTTTTTAATTCATAATGTATTAGCGTGATAATTGGTTAAGTGGTTAACGCAATACCTAAGTTCAAGGTGGTAGTTAATATTTTTTTCTTCTGAGGATTACAAATTGTAATGGTTTCTATACAATTGAATTTATAGATTTTAAATTCTTCTTGGAAGCAATTGATTATCATTAGAATTTCACGAAATACAATATATTTCCTCTTACATTAGTATCACTTTTACATTATATGTCATGCCGTAATAATATTAGATAACATCAGGTTGCAAGGTAGAAAATCTGTATTTTTTAAAAATTGATTTATCAATTGACAAAGGGCATTTCAGTTACTTAAGTAGTGTAATTCGACTTTTATATCATCAAAAAACATTCTGAGTGGAATGGTAGTAAACATTCCCGAAATTTACTCTGTTTCATTGCTATGTGAATAGAGCTTTTATCTTAATGTCATCTGTAAATATTTTAACTGTATCACATTTCGGAAGGGATCATTATTTGGTTTTTTTTATGATTTTGTTATTCATGCACTAGTTTCACTTACGAAATTAATTTTAAAATTTATAAAGGAAAATATATTTCAATAAGGATTTATATTTAGAGGATAATATATGACGTTCGTGAAGAAAATGTTCTTAAATCAGAGGTCGAATAGCGAGATGTTGGGGAGTATGAAATATTGGAAAATTCAGTGACATGTTCGGAAATTTCCAACATTAGAGGTTATAGAAACCTAGAATAGAAATTTAAATTTATTTGAAACAAATCACCTTATATGAGGTCTATTTGGGGTTTTATCCTGTACATGTTCTTGAGGTATCAATAGGAACGTGATAGCTTACATTTTCATATTATTTGACACTTATTAACATAAAACATTTTTAATTTTTTTCTAATATAATAATTTATTATTCTGACATCTTTACATACACGAAATTCTATACAACATTTATATAATATACCTTTGCTTTTAAATTATACAGAACTGAAATTCATATTTATAACTTACTCTGCTTCTGTGTTTATATTTATGAGTTTATTTATAATATAGTTATAATTAACTAAATACAGAAAGAAATACATTAATTCATTTTTCAGTCATCATTCCATATTACATGCAAAATAAAAAGAAAAGTAAAGCTGTCTCACTATACGCCATGTAGGCGCTTGGGGGAGGAATTAATCTATCATTTTTTTATGCTGATAATATTAAACCAAAATAACAACTATACCACCTAAGCAAATGTCAGGATAGCAACTGAATCTACGTCTGCGTCTTTCCAATTCATTATTTATTAATCCTATCATTGTCAGCGTCATTAAATAAATCACGAATAATAATAATCTAAATTTAGTGTTTACTTATGCACATATCTTAAAATGTTACTGGTGATTTCATTGCTATATATTTATATGTTTTTCCTGCGTTCTGACTTGGTGCTTTTGAAAGAATAGTGTTGTAAAATATTTATTCTGTGCGCTGTAATATGATGGTGAAGTCAAATTTTTTGTTTGCAAATGTTGCAGAACACAGAGTGAGAAACACTTATAGATGCCATAAGTACGAAAATTATGAAGTAGTCCCAAGGATTCGTATGAAGTTTCGTAATGAAAGTTCACAAGCGTAAATTAGGAACGTCTTTTTTTAGAAAACAATTTGTTGTGTGTGTACATTAAATAAATAATAAAAAAAACTTTCTCATTTCTGAAATATTATTAGGAAAATTAAAGTTAATTTTGTATTTTAATTTAATAAATAGTTTCTTGTGTTACGAATCCTGTATTCAGGAAAATGTGATATTTTGCAACTATGAATTTAGTGAATCGGTAACAATTTACTTTTATTATCTATTAACTTCTATTCTTAATGTAATTAATGTTTGCAAAAACATAACATTAATATTTTAAGTATTTTCTTGTAGTAACAAAAATATTAAGTGGCAATTAAGAACAGATTTGATTTATTTATAATTCCTAATTTGTTTTCTTTCCATTAAAGGTTACACAAACAAATTAATTAGTCGCTACAATAATAAAATTGTACTAGTACTTACAATTAAATAGCTAACTTAAAAACAAATCTTTAACAGATAGAATAAAATAAACTAAAATATTTTCTTTGTCAAGATTGGAACGAGATGGATTTTGTAATTGTGTCTGCGTATTGTATAGTCCCAAATGACTTAAGTCAATTGTTGAAATACTATATACTTACAAATGTCACCATTTTAGTCTCAAAACTGTGTATTTAAACAGAGTACATAAAACTTGTGCGCTGTTGATAAATCAGTTAACATATTGAAAAAATACTGTTCGCTGGATGCATTTGGTAAACTCCAGTAAATAATGGCTATATTTATATTATAGTAAAAGTAGAACTATACAGAATATTAATTAAAATTAGTCATTTTCTTTTGAATTTACACTAACATCACAGCGAAAACAGACGGAACAGCGTTAGAGAGCATTGTTATCGTGCACACAATGACCTGTATATATAAACCTGCTGGGTTCGTATTACCTCAACTACAATAGCTTATTTGGTCTACGAGTATAATTTAAACAAAGCATTTGCAAGGTTGGTGATAAAATTTAATAGCTTATTTGGTCTACGAGTATAATTTAAACAAAGCATTTGCAAGGTTGGTGATAAAATTTAATATATCCCGAAACTCAACAAAAGTTTACGTGAAGAAAGTTTCCATTGACAATATATCCCGAAAATCAACAAAAGTTTACGTGAAGAAAGTTTCCATTGACAATATATCCCGAAAATCAACAAAAGTTTACGTGAAGAAAGTTTCCATAATATATCCCGAAAATCAACAAACAATATATCCCGAAAATCAACAAAAGTTTACGTGAAGAAAGTTTCCATTGACAATATATCCCGAAAATCAACAAAAGTTTACGTGAAGAAAGTTTCCATTGGCAATTCAGTTTTAACTGTTTTGTTATTCGTAGTTAATTTGAAGAACGTTGTCTTTACGTAGAATTTCTGTCTAAGAGTTCAGATAACCGAGACCACAGCCAAAGATTTGACGTGCTATTTACAAACTGTTCATCACCCAAAAACTATGCTACGCATTAACATAACTAACTTAAATAAAATACTGAGTATTGTTACTGTTCCCTTGATGCTCCAGAAAGTGCAACAATTTATATACTGTTATAAAAGAATATATGCGCTCTCCTTAAAATCATGTATCTGTATCTTAACGTCAGTGACATTTTCTGATATCCAAATGCTGATTTAAATCATATTCTACAAATATATTGGTCCCTACGTAATATAATACTTTCCGTTCTCCGATTTTCATTTGTCATCTTAAAATATTTTTCATGGTTGAATTTTAATTCATACGATATATTTATTTTAGTCAAGAAATGCAATCGTGCATATTATCCCTTATTGAAGACGACATTTCTATCGAATCTCTTGTAACATGAAGCATCATATGGAATCCAGTGCACCACCAGTCAATTTTGTGCCATAAAGATTAATAACCTGAAAATAAGATTAAAAATATATTAATTAAAAATATATCTCTGTTGTACAGAAAATTATAATTCACGTTTGGAAATAAGTGGGCGTGTCCACATTAAACATAATTTTTGAAGGGTTAAATTTATTTTCTGTATCATATTTAGCAAGAAGAGATAAGACAAAATTTTTTTAAATAATATTTAATTCGCAAGCTGTGGGAGGAAACTGATAGATAACGTAACTGAAGGACATTTTGTGAAGTTACGTACTAATTTTCTTTATTCAAGACAGGAAGATGGCATTTTGATATAACTATATCCAACATATTTGTCGATATCCCCCTGTATCTCTCTATAACTTCTGCACCGGTTGATAAACTTCGTGAAATTATTTTATTCGTGTCATAGCACCTTTTTGAATTCTCGTACTACGAGCTGTAACTCGCTGTTGTGACGCTTAGCAAACTGGAACGTGCACGGTTATGACTCATGACAGATAAAAGACTGATACAACAATACGCTGACTACGCGAATTTGCATGGCGAAAATGGCACAGTAGCGTAGCATTCTGCAATAATGTACAACTCTGCCGAGGCATTTTTCGTAGAATCTAAAACGACAACAATGAAGATTGCATGAAAAATGTATTTAGCTTTTGCAGTTACGTACGAGAGAATCTGTGTTCTACTTTACTCGCTTACAAACTTTGTATGAAACATTGTTATACGTCTGAATAAGTTGTTTATAAACCTTGAAACAATACGAAAATTAAACATATTTGATAAATTTAATGTATTCATAATCAACAATAATGAAAAATTATGAACGTAAACTAATATTTAAGTTATATAATTTATAGTTATTGCAAGAAGCAAGTAAGAACTTTATGATTGAATGGGTCCACATTAATTTTAAAGCAGAGTTAACGTCTGCATGGACAGACCCGTAGTGCGGAGATTAAAATCCACTGTTCCATTACATTAAAGGTTAGTACATTTCGGTGTTTCTTCTATGCCCCTTTTCCACCAAACCCTTTAACTTACGTGATAAATGAAGACATATTGGTCACGGGTCTGTACAGCACCGGCCCTGTCCCTCCTGAGTCGAGCCACACAGCGCGGGACATCAACGATACGCAGGGTCTCAAAGTCCCTGATGCAGAGATCGCAGGCGATAACAGCCCCCGTGCGTCCTGTACCAGGGCTGCAGTGCACCACACAGGGACCCCCACGCATGTATGGCCGGGCCTCGAGCAGGAACGCGATTACTGAGCTCACGTCGTCAGGGACACCCTGTGTCGGCCAACTTACATACCACAGGTGCATCACCTCACGCCACGAATTTGTCTCTAGGTTCTGACGAAAGAAACAAATTGGAAATTAAATATTTCAAGCGTAAAGTATATTTTGACGTAAATAGGAAGGGTCATTCGGCAAAAAAGTGGAACGAAAAAGGGAAACGAAAAAGTGGAACGAAAAAGTGTAACAATGGTTACCTAGGGAACGTCGTCTGTTTACTCGGAATTGTTGTTACCTAGGAAACGTTACATTACATTCAGCTACCACAGACCCATCTTAAGCGTAACTAATTCAAGTTGATTAAGCAATGTCTTAATCAAACTTTACTCAATTGTAAAGCATGTATAAAGGAAATATTTAGAATAAAGCCAATATATAAACTTCCTTTCCGTATAGACGTATTTACGTCAAATTCTCCGGAACCGTGGTTCCACTGACAACTTTTTTTTTAAACTATACAGAAAGATATTGAAAGCGTTATAACTCGGAATATATTACTTGTAAGTTTATCGTCTGTATATCCTCACCTTCAGTTGCAGTGTGGATATGATATACAGCTCCTTGACTTCTCTCTTCTTCAGGGTGATTTGGAAGTCACCAAACAGCCTGTGGCAATCGAGTACCTCTGAAGGAGGCAGGTAATCTGCACATTTCTCCTAAAATAATTTGAACGTAAATTAACAAAAAATTTTGACAATAATCTAAAATTAATAGCAAAAATGTTTATTTGGTTCATACACCATCTTAATGAATATGCTTTCTTTTATATGTGTTGAATTAGTTCTGTATGAAATAAAAAGTTGACTTCCATTTAAAATCACATATGTCCAGTTTTTATCAATTAGTACATTCTGTATATTTGTACATGTTCCTTGAACCACGAAATGTCGGTAATCATTACTAAGTACCACATTACTACTGACGGTGTTGTCCTTAGCCACAACTTTTAAATATTTTCTATTTCAGCCTTACGTATAGTTTATAAAATGTCATCAGTCTCTCTTGAAAAATGTATTGCCTACAACATGAGTGTTTTTCTTAAATAAATCCAAAGATATTTTGTATTATAAATGAATAATTTGCAGTTTGGTTCTGTAACCATAGGACAGATTCATTTTTCAGTACCAAGAAGCTTACGGATTCACGCAAATATTGTATGAATTATAAATAAAGTCTTAAAGGTCAATAAAGAACCATTACTCCATACATTACATTTATGATGTTAAGATATGGTACTTACGACACCATTTTCAACGAGGTCTGTAAGCATTAGTATGACTTTGCTCTGCTGCTCCCAGATCATGCGCCAAAAATCGGTCACAGTGGATGCCAGTGGAGCCTGACACGCGATGTAGTATTTACTTGCATTCTTGGGGCCCTGAAATTGCCATGATAACACAGCGTAAGGAAGTGCTGAGAGTAAGATCTGACATCTACCTAGCCAGAGACAAAACACAAGCTCTTACTGGTATCTAAATTATATAATATGTCTTATTGTTTTGTTCTGTCTCATTGTTTTGTTGTGTCTTATTGTTTTGTTCTGTCCTATTGTTTTGTTGTGTCTTATTGTAGGACCACTGCCACTGGGTAAAAACCCATTTGCAATTAATAATAATACTTACATGAACAAAATTAGCATTTATATATTCGGACAGTGGATCTCCTTCACGTGGAGACAACTGTACCCTTGTCTCAGGAAGGGGTATCACATTGGAGTAGCGGTTCTTGGTGTCAGCTCCTTCGGGAAGCTCATCAACATTGGCTGTCACCTGAGGAATACTAGCATACTCCTCCTCCAACGATTCCCGATTGAGGATAAAATTGGCCAACCCAGCGAAACCCATTGGATGTGTTGGTGAAGACTGAAATTAACAAGAGTAGCTTCAAGGAGATGAAAAACTTCCACATATGTATGATGTATGTTTCAGGATTTGTCCTCTAAATCCACCCCACGCTGTTTCTCTAGACTTGATTCATCGAAGCCGCGAAGTTGTTAGACGCTGTCTGTGAAAACACAGGAATTAAACCACCCACTAAGGTTTTGCATGCATCTCTTCCTGCTAATAAGGTTTTATTAAAAATGTCTGTTTCTATCAGATAGTAGCATTCAGAAGGAGTTTTGCTAATTTATTCTGTATCTCATCTAATTCAGCTAGTGAAATAATCATTTAATATATGCAAATAAACAGCGATAAATTTATTCACAACTGAACTACAAAGTCACTCGTTCGTCAATTTTCGAGCAGACTTGGTACATACATACTCCATAGCTTATTTTATATAACTGGAGAAATACACTTTATTTTTTCATAAACATATCTGCAGTACGTAACTTTTCACATCGCTAACACTTCCAACATTGAGTGACCCTGGAATATGTGTTTCCGTCATTTTTTTTTTCATGAACCAACAATTGAATAAGTTCCGGGTTTTCTCTCTCTCTCCCTCTCTCTCTCTCTCTCTCTCTCTCTCTCCTTCCCCCGAGCGTCATAGTGCAGCCTGTTCACCTCCCTGATCTATTTGTTTATTTAATGATGAAAAATATATAAATTCAACAATTTTTGTTTTATATATAGTGATACGGTATTATAAAACAGTATGCCGACGCCACAAAACACATGGCGGACCGCGGGTTGAGAACTCATGCATAAACGCAAACTGCGGACAATGAGTTTTATACATTACGAATTATTTGTTTATTTAACGACAGTATTCTTGTTTACATCTGAATGATAGAATTATTGCGAAAGAAGCTATCGTGACCTAATTTAAATAATCCCGGAATTTGCCTGGAGGGACAAAATAAGACGTACAAAGACTCGCTCGGTACTGTCCTGCAGCCGAGGTTTGAATCCGGGACCTCTCAAATACAAAGAAAGTGTGATAACCATTCAGCCATGATATTAAGGAATATTCTGAATGTAATGTTTCCAATGTATCGCCTGTCATGGTTTTCCTTAGTCCCTGCAATAAAACGTTAAGATATTTACGTAAAATAGTTCATTGAAAGAAAGCAAAAATTCTTCCCGTCTCATTCGAAATCATGCTTCGTGTGACCCTATAATAATCAATAGTTGATAAAGCGTCGTTAAATTAAGTAATACTGTTATTTATTGTATGAGATTTGAGGTTGTCATGGAGGTGAATATGTGGATGTTAGTTCTTACTCACTGGATCATCGAATCCCGCGTTGCCGTAGGATCGTTTCGAGTTCCTGACGCCACCCTTGCGCCTGACAGAACCACACACGGAGACGCTGTCTAGGCTGTAGGCGTCCAGGGACACTGGTGTGCAGCGTTGTCCATAGGTGAAACTCTCCTGGCGTTTTCTCATCACAAGCTACGCCCACATCAAAAGGGTTATAACCACTGCCTTTACCTCATTACGCACCCTGCGTTTTGCTTAAACTACTGGTTAATCGTATTCATGAATAACTCCATTGAAGAGGGTCTGCTTCAGAAGCTAATGGTCGCTTAGCTGGTCAAGAAATATGCCGTCGTTTGAGGAATCCGGTTTCATTACCACGTTCAAAAGATTCCACCACTGGCCCATATACTAACCCAAATTAATGCAATCCATAACATCTAATCCAATTTAACTTCGATAGATTTTAATATTATTCTCCTATCCCACACCTAGGTCCTTCGAGTGGTCTCTTCACTTCGGGGTTTCCAACCAAAATTTTGTACGCATTTCTCATCTTACCCATGCGCGAAACATACCTTGCACATATTATTCTTAATCTTACCACCCTTTTATATTTCGTGAACAGTACAAATTATGGAGAGTCTCATAACGTAGTTTTCTTTTCGTTCCTCTTAGGTCCAAATATTTTCCTCAGACACACTCAATCTGTGTTCTTCCCTTAACGTGAGAGAGAGACCAAGTCTTACAGCGTATAAAATTACAGGTTTATATACGACTATCAGTATTTTATTATTTATCGGTGATTAATGACATTTATTAACATTGCTGTCTACGACAAGTATAGGGCTGTACCTAAAAAATACTTACCCAGAGGACAGCGAGTAAAATTAGACACGCGGCTCCGATACAGGAGATGGTAATGGCGGCGATCATCCCCCCACCTATGTCTTCAGAACCGCCATCAGATGTCTGTTCGGCAGTCTGCACTGTGTTAATCTAAAATGACACGAATTTGTTATTCTTTGGGACCTTACTTCAACGCCCTGATCATGGGGTCAGCAAGCACCTCCGAAGCCTCGCAACAACACAGAAGACAGACAACTTTAGTATTAAATTTTTCCGTCTATACATCACTGTGCGTAATTATTTTACTGCAATTAGCCACCTTTCATTCGGCTTTGCGTCACGTTCGCTTACGAGTAATACGGAATATTCATTTTTGGGATAGGAATTCTTTATGGATACTGAAAGTGCAGAGATAACATAAGATTACATTAATATACTCCGTAAAATTTGCTTAATAATATAGTTACATTACCTTACCTGGTTATATATATTTCTGAAAGTTGCAATAGGAGTTTGCGCCTTTGAGGTTGAGGTCTGTAAGTCTACATGCGCCATTCGCTCTGAACTGACTGCTACGAAGTGACGCACGACCGACTTATCAGCGAATTATCGCGAGTCACACTCATTTCTACCTCAGGCCTTCACTTTTAACGTTACTGTGTACGGTTTTGTACATAAATTAAGTAAAACGTAAATTATATTTATTAATCGCTGTTATTTAACTGTCTCCGAAGGGTGGAATTCTTCTCACGTGGTCCAGATGATTACGGAGCCCATAGCTGAACCCCATTTTGAGTCAGCTAAATGTTTTAAATGCGTCATGAACTGTGAAATAATGAGTGATATATCATTTCAAATGAGCAGATTCATATGGCGTGTTCATTAAAACAACCCTAAGGTTCCATAAAAATTGGGAAAATTTCTAACAAGCTAAACTATGTAAGCTTATCAAGCTTAAGCTTATGTTGCGATAGGATTGTTCCAAATTTTACAAAATTAAAAAAATTGCAGTTATATATTCTTAAAATATATAAAAATTTTCGAAAACTTTCAAAATTCAATATATTTTCAAAGAAAAATTCTAAATTTTAAAATACTGCATAAGACTTCCAGATTTGGCAAAACATTTTACAAAATTAAAAAATTGCAGTCAAAATATTCTTAAAATATAAAATTTTTCGAAAACTTTCAAAATTCAATATATTTTCAAAAAAAAATTCTAAATTTTAAAGTATTGAATAAGACTTCCAGAATTGGCAAAACATCCATAGAATATAAAATTATTCCATTTTATTTAATTTAAAAAATATCAAACTTGTGAAAAAATTTCAACATGCGCATATGAAAGAGCTATCGATCTTATTGAAGAGTGTTAAAATATTAATGTAACTACTTACGTTAAACGGTAAGTCTGATAGCCCAAACTCTCTCCAGAACCAATAGAAATCATATGTGAGCTGATGATCGAAGTAGCTGGCTTCGTCGACTAAGTACATCTCGACTTCAATCGAAGGTGACAGATCTGTGGTGGCTCCTAAGCACCGCGTCTCATCCGAGTTCGGCAGAATCACTTGATAAGTCTCTATAAGCCTGCAAAAGTAAGTCCGTATAAAATGCACCGACTGTAACTAAGATAGATAATAGTCTTTGTAACAAAATTGTCGCTCAGATAGTCAAGAAATATATCGTGTATTATGGAACTGAAAAGTTTCGTTATCGTATTCACAAAAGCGAGACACCAACCCCTAAACTGAGCCAGTTGATTCCATTTTACATTCTCACACCCCATTTTAAACAGCGCGTTATTATTCCATCTACGTCTAGTTCTTTAAAGTGCTCTATTCTCCATTTAAATTCTGTAAACATCTCATCTTTCCCATGGGTGCATTTGAAAAGTGATTTTTTTTCATTTCCTGAACTTGGATTTTTCACTTTTCATTTTGAATTTTTGTGAGACAATAAATGCACACAGAATTTTTGTCAGGACAATTCTTTAATAGTTGTTAACTGGACTTTAGTTTAAGGAACGTCGCGAAACAAAAATTAATTCATGTTTAATAGCGAGTTCTTTAATTAAGTTCCGAATCTTCAAATTCTTTTAGCAGATAGTTGTTCTTTCGTGATGTCTTTCCTTGTTACTGTGATACTGGTCTAAAAAGTAAATAAGAATATGCATTTATATCTTCAGTGCTGAAGATTGAGGCAGTATGTTCCTCCGAAACGCTGGTGTCTGCTTACAAATCCACAGCCCAGGAGACTGGCATCAGCATGGAATTACCTTGTTTCGAAAAAGATTTCCTTGCCCCGTTCCTATCTCCTTCGATATTGACGCCTACACACTTACGGGAGGGTTCGTAAACAACAGCCAGGAAACCATTACCTGCCATTACTCCTCATGAGCTTTGTAACAGACTGCTTGAACTCGTCGAGATGCTCACAGAAATCAGACCAGGACGCATTCACGGAAAGAATCAAATAGAAGGGAACATTGTACGCTGATGGTAGCGTAGTTGAATCTGCATCCCATTCAACAGCGCCAGTACTACTGCTCCAGACGTTGGTCTGATCGCTTCGGGGAGTTGAAAATGTCTCCACGTCATCAGCGTCTGAGAATAAAATATTGTATAATTTTATTACATTTCGTATAAATCAGCGTTTATCAACCTATGGTACCCGTACCACTGATGGTACGCGAGCCAATGTTGAGTGGTACGCGAACTACGTAAGAAAATCAAACGACAACATGCTACTTTATAATTAATGGTGGCAGGTATCGACGCCATTTGATAATCGATAATTGATGGAAATTCATGTAAACAAGGTATTCAAAAAAGATACGAAAGAGGTTTGAATTGCAAGAAGGCTGTTGCACGGAATTTACGTGAAATAATAGTTAGGATAGTGGATGAAATAGTGATATATCGTGAAACTAAAATTAGTAGAAATAAATTTTTATAGGGATTGTTTCGTTCGAGCTGCGTGTAATAGGGGGAAAAAATGTAATGACTAATCAACAAACGTAATGAAAAAAAAAGCTTGATGCAGAGGACAGAAGAATTTCGATGCAGATGAATGGAAGAGAAGTCTAGACCATGATTTTCCGGAGTTTACAAAATTGACAGCAGGACGGAATTTTGGTAAGAGGAGTTAGAAATGATCGGCGGTTGTTGAATATGAGACTGAAAAAGCTGGGAATACCATGAAGAAGGCACAGGAGAAAACAGACTACGTCATTACTTACTACTTGTGATGGTTTGAATTTCATATGAACCAGTTGATGAAAAGTCTTCTTCTGCGGTGTATGTGCCAGACTTGTCGTCAAGAGTGGCTGTCTCCGGTGTACCACCTTTCTGGGGCTCTTCGTGGATGGGGTACGGTTCGTTACCGTCACCCGAGATTACAGAAAGTTTCCCGGAACTTTCAGTATCATCCACTTGAAAATTGGCTTCCGAATTTTTATTCTGTCCTTCCAAATTGCTGCCAGAAATGTCCCCTTGATTGTACGCACCCTCTGGACTGATGACTTCTGTCCGAGATTCGTCTCCAGACCGAATGACATCCTCTTCCGGTACTTTTTCGAATGTATTGTTACCACCTTGCTTGTTTTCATCCACATCGCCTGAATTACCGACTGAGCCATGAGACATCTCGAGGTTTATCGACTCTTCATCGTCGTTTTGATTGTCATTTTCTCTTGTTGTGCTTTGAAACGGGCGTTCAGTGGTAGATGTAACAGTATTTTCATCTGCTGCTGGTGTGGACAATAAGTTATCATCTTCTGTTGATAATCTGTCGAAAAACGAACCCTCTGTACCTGCGTTTTCGGACTCCAGATTTGTTGATTCAAGATTCTCCGTAGTGCTATCAATAGATTCAGTTGACAGTCTGAAAGCGTCATCCGTTGTAGTTTGTGTTACAGCTGTATTTGCTTCTGATGTAGGAAAGAAGTAAGATTTGTAACTAATATCTTCTCTGCCCGTGTATAAACTAGTAGACATGTCAGAACTTGTGATAGTTACTGGAATGATGGTTCCAGTCTTCTCATACCCGGAATCGGAGGTTGTCAGGTCTTTGGTGTCGATCATGACCTGATGAGGCGTGGAAGAAACTTCGTCTTCAGTGGTAGGCTCCTCGGTTGTTTCGCTGTACCGCTCAGTCGTTGGGGCATCAACCTGAACAGAAGACAGCCTGTTTTCTTGCATGCTCGATGGTTGTGTTAACTTCTGAGAAAGAACGCCACTGGTTCTTATTATCGGCCTGAGTTTCGTTGACTTTGGTGATGTTAAAGTTGGCTCTACGTTTTCTACGTCGGAAGCAATAGTCGTGGAACCTGTAATTAAAAATATAAAATTTAGATAAACTTCGTAACCTGAAACATTATTCAGGTTTTACACAGCCCTAAAAACATATTTTTTTGGCAGCTTTGTCGTATTTTGCCCTTAGTTTATTACACAAGTTGATGGAAGTTCTGCGTACGATGTGCGTAAGATGCTAATATAGACTTCCACTACAGACCTGAATATTTTGTTACGACATGACCAAAACATCGTATCGTCGCCATCTTTGTAATTTTAAACATTCTCATACATAATTCATGCATGACTTGTGGCTTCATTTATATATAGCCGGTTTCTATGCTAAATGTCACATTCCAACCATAGTTTATTAATTCTCGCTCCTGTTACATTCTACAGAAAGGCTTAGAAATTTTAAAATATTCATCATGGAACAACATCTCAGGTTCGTACATTAAATGACGCCAGTGTATGTCATGCATGAGGAAAGAATTTAAAATGAATTCCGACGGTGGTAACTCTGGTAGCAAGAAATTCAAACGAAACTATGTTGACGCCTGTGGCGGGGTCTGGCAGAGTCTGCTGGAGTCAGGCGGCCGGTTTTGTGTTGGGTGCATTTGGAAAGAATCCGGCTTCACGCGAATTTTTTCTTCGCAAATAAATTATTTACAAATTTATAAATACTTTCAATTCGATTTGCAAAAAAAAAAAAATAATAATTCTGCGATAAACTGTGTTATTTTTCAACACAAAAAATGTTCGTTTCCGTCATGATACGCAGATAATTTACCTTGTTCCTCTGAGTTCCACGGTCTTCTGCCCCTTGTAGGATACCACCGCCTGACTTGTGCGTCCGACGTGGAGTTATCCTGGCGTAAAACCCGTGTCTCTCCGTCGGGCCCCTTTCTACTCACTAAAGCCCAAGCTACCGGTGTCGACAGTTTGGAGAAAGGTGATGAGGCATTCGTCACACCTCCTGAGGCATCACTCCTTTGGCTTCCGTAACGGGCCGATCCACGATTCCGTTTTGCAGGCGTATATACGTTATTTCTAACATAAATTATGTCATTTCCTTCGTTATTATCAGTTCCATTCGGGAGTGGCGTTCGTCTTGCGAAGACCGGCAACCCCCTTACAATAACATTACTTTCTGTTGTCAGATTGCTTGATGAAACCAAAGCAATGGACGCTTCGGTGCTGGTGTGAGGGCGTCGTTTGGAAGTCATCCGGCTCCGAACGGCCTCTGTGTTGACAGAGGGGCTTCTAGTAGAATTTCTGACAGATGATGATGACTGGACGCTGGCATCTTCCGCGTTGCTGCTTGCCGTTGTATAAGGTCGGCGGTAAGTTAACGTTCTACCTCTTGAACTACTGGTGTACCCCACTGTAGAACTATCTTCTTGTCCCACAGTAAATCCGTACCCAGAAGTCGGATTTGTGTTGTTCTGAATGTTCCTGGCATCGGCTGTAGTTTGAGACGACTCCTCTCCGATATCTGCCGACGCTGTGCTGGATTTTACCTGCAACTCACTATTACTTGTTCCATTGCTTAGCAAATTATGTCTTGCTTTGGGTTTCTTTATCGCATCATCACTGTTGTAGTTGTTCTCGGAAGATAATTTCTTTATCGCATCATCACTGTTGTAGCTGTTCTCGGAAGATCCAGAGAGTGGAGTCTGGGAAGATTGTTCCAGGCCATTCGTAGAATTCTGTTGGCCACGTCCGGACACTACCATCCTGCTACCTCGGTTGATGTTACCTTCTTCAGAAATGGGACTAACTGTGTTGAATTTCAGATCATCGACTGTTATATCACCGCTGCTGGAACTCGTTATTGTATCTTCGTTGGTATACTTCATTTCGATATCGATTGGTGCTAATTTTGTCTCATTCGATATCACGCATGTGATAGGCCCATCGATTGTTACTGTAACATTTTCTGTGTCTGAAGAACAGTTTCTTGGTTCATGAGATCTAAGGATGGATCGGTCCGTTGTGGATTCCGATGTTGTACTGTTTTTGTCATCAGGTGTCCCTGTATTAATATTCTCTGTCGCATTCTGTTCGGCTACCGTGGTCAGATGAGGCGAAGACCGCTCAGAGGAACCTAACGATTCCAAAGATACTTCGCCCACTTTTGAGTGTCCGTCAGTCGTGGTAGTCTGGGAACTGTGTTTATCGTTTCTCGAATCTGTTGACACAGATTCATAGTCAGGGTTTATAGTTGAGTTTGTGTCATTTAAGACGTAATATGTGGTTCGATTTAAATCAGGCTCAATTTTTGTGTAAACACGAGACCAGTCAAAGTCAATGTGACTTCCATTCTCTACCACAACATCTCTCTTCACAGAGTTATTAAGTATTGAATCGTTGTATACGATCGAGAAATTACTTACAAACTCCAGCGCAACTTTTTCATCTGTCTTCTCTGTTGGGTCTCCGGGTGAAGGTAGGCGTTCAGGTATGAGAGCCGTTTGGTGTCCATCCATCCCCTTATCGCCATATCCCGGTGTCACTTCTCGGAACCTCTGCTCGTCCATTTCTTGAAGGTTTTGTCGAATTCCTTCTGTCATTCTAGCGTGAAAATCGTCAAACAACTTTATTCTTGGAGTTGTTAGGGGAACATCGAAATTCGTAGATTCTGCTCCCAATTGACGTTTGTCAACAAAAGACGATTTCTTTGGTGCACGGATAGTACTGTCGTTAAAATCATCGCTGCCAAAGTATGAATCATAACCGATATCGTATGGCGATCTTGTTGTGGTTAAGTACCTCAGTACTTCCGCGTGGAGGCGTCCTTGAAGAACGTCATCTGATTGAAATGAAGCCACTGTTTTACCTGTAGAAGTGCTGGGAGGCGCTGGTGTCGTGGGGTTGTTACAGGATCCTCCCTTTGTGCAGTTTTCTTCTCCTCTGACCTGAAACTTCTTCTGTCTGACCTTGGCAGCATCGGTGCTGTTGGATGATGGGAGGCCTGCCGCCGTAATACGTCGGATATAACGTTCCCCTATCTCTGCACGTACCTCCCAGCAGCCTTGCAGAAGAAGGAGTAATCCCAGCAGCGCCACAACCACTCCTGTGCCCCTATCTCTGCACGTACCTCCCAGCATCCTTGCAGAAGAAGGAGTAAGCCCAGCAGCGCCACAACCACTCCTGTAAACATAAAATATTGTTATATGAGATTTGAGGTTTTCGTGGCAGTGAAAATGTCGAAGTCGGTCTTATGGTTTGTAATGAATATCTTGAGCACGTGTATGTAGACATCAATTTTTCGGAGGAACGTACCGCTTTTATCTTCAGGACTGTAGAGAGATACTGACAGCATCTTTACAAAAACAAACATAAATTGTTGTTAAATTAAACAAGTGACACGCGTGTGAGTTCTCGGTAAGAAAGGCTTAAGTCAAACGTAAGTTGTATTGACTTAAGCCCTTCTTTATTTTATTTAGTGTTCTGGTCCATATGAACAGGATCCTTCCATCCTTCTCTCGGACTGGGACCTGTTCATATACGTTCTTGGCAGATGATCCAGAAGTGGTTTGCCATTGCCTTCTTCTGTGTGTGAATGGAGTAATTGTTGGGATGCCACGGAGAAACCGGAAAAGCCCCCGGAGGAAAACTCCGTGTTGCCTAGACCACGGCCTTGCCCAACACAAGTTATAAATTCGGTCAAAAGATATCATTGCTTTCCACAGCTCAACACACTACGAATATTAATAATTTTAAGTATTACAGAATATTTTATTGAAGTAAAATTCTCCCTGTACTTAATTAGGCACCATTCAACGAAGATGTATAGAGGAGTGGCGGTATAGCTCCTCGCATTCTTAACCTTGACGCTATATTTAAGTGAGGGGTCAGATTAACGCCATGGCCCCTCTTATCCCGTGAGATGGGGTAAGACGCCATAGATCTGTCTGGACATGGTAGAGAAGAGACGAACCCTTGTCCTTTCTGAGTGTAGTCTAAGTTTGTCTGCCCTAATGAATATATATTATTGAGTAGCGTCGTAAGTTTATCTAAACCACAAAAGGATTTATTGACTTATTATGCATGTATTTCTAGGTTTAATTTAGCCACCGATGCGCTGTTCTAACCCGTGACTATGGTAATGGTAAGAGATGCTTGTTCCGTTCTCCCTGGGCTCGCTGACTGTCATGACTGTCATGACCGTAACTCCGTGAAGAAAGTTAGAACCCGGAGTGCCTTTTGCGACAAAAAAATCAGAACATATTAGGTTGGAATCTGTTGCCAGTGGCATAGACATTATTTGTTGGACGACGAAGTCCTGTGAATGTAATGAGAAAGTTTCTGTCCTTCATTCAGAAAGTGTACGCGCCTCTCCTGCATATAAATATTGGTGTGAATGACGAATAAAATTATATGTGAACATATTAAAAGCTACATAAGGAGTTTATATCACTGTAAACAATTTCGTTCATACATTTCTTCAAAATGTCGGATACTGAGAGAGATACACAGACAAGAGCATTCCGCAATGTGTTTTCGTTAGAGCTTAAATAAAAAAAAAACTTGTGAACAATTTAAAGGCCGAAAACGAAGTATATTTGTCAATGGTGATATCAATCTGAGATGTCAATATACTTAATTTCACTTACATGATTCTTAGTTTTCTGTTTAAATGAGTGACAGTTGACTATACCCTATAAAAATCATGTTTATTCAGCTATATTTATTAGGTAAGACTCAGAGTAACAAAATAAATTCTATAAAGAATTTTAACATAAGATTAGTGATTAATTGCGAAACTCTGACAATTTTAGTAATACCCTAACACATGTTTAGAGTAAGATATAAAATAAATAAAACAAATAAATGGTTGTATTGAAGAGATTACATAAAATTGAGAAATAAATATTCCATGCTGGTACTTCTAATTACATTTCTAAGTTTTTAGAAATATATCTGATATTTAATATTTCAGTGTCGTTAAATAACCAGTACGTGCCCTACTGTGTGTGAACCTCGACATCGATCGCATGGATCTTGGCATTTAGGTCTTGACAGGACCTAGTGCACGTCAGAAGTCGTGCTGTGTACCGACCGCGTGAACTGCAGGAAGGGGTTCACCTTGGTGCAGTAGGTGTTGCCTACATGTATCGCGCAGGGAGAGGCTCAGACGGGATAACGTGATCTATAGCTAGGTGAACGCCTAAAGTCCGTAGGAACTCAACCGTTACTCCATTATGTTCAACACAATGTCTCAGAGACTGCGAACATATGAGTTAGAGCAGACTCGAAAAACAAAAGTCCGTCCTGCACAGTGGCGCGATAAATACCTTCCCACTTAAAAAGAAAATATTATTTTAATTCAGACTTTAAAGTTAATGACCCACTCTACTGCAACTACAAGTGAAAAAAAAAAGATTTAATTTCTGGCGAAGTTGGGAGGGGGGGGACAATTTTGTAAAATAGATTAACAAAAATAATAAATTATTTTCGATCAGTTCAATTACAAGTAGTGAGAAGGAAATTCTCATGACACTACCAGCATTAAGATCTAGTCTTGGCTCAAAAGTAATTTTAAACTGTGTTTAAATATGAAACTATTTGTAGGAACATTATATCCATTTATAAATTAAAATAAGATATACAAGTTTCATATAATGTTGAGATTTACGATACAGAGCACGAGAGGTCCATTTAAAATTCAACAGGGAATTATTTATTTCTCATCTTAATCCTGTACCTTCATTTTCCCTTTCCCTATCCCTTCTGGGTATTTATCTCCTTCTCTTCTTATTCACACATCTCATTTCTTTAACTTTCCGACAGCCATGTTTATTATTATTATTGAATAACTGTTTGAAATTGTTTGAGAAACAATTCATAAATAAATTAGAAGTCATTAGCTTATATTTCGCGCAGATAAGTGCACTCTCAGTCATCAAATTTGTAGTAGTGAATCTGCAAATCCGTAAGTGCTAAGGACCTGCGTTGCATTAAAGCTCAGTCACGTATTACGGAAAAGCGATACTCATTCCATGCAATCTGATGGATGAGTTTTAGTTGAACAGTAGACGAGGCGTCCTCTTCTGTGCAAACTGTATCAAAATTAATGCAAATTTATTAGTATAATTCCAGACAAATTGCTTTTAACCATACAGGCGCTCTCTGGCTTAAGAATCCTTAGCACCCAGTAAGTGTTTGTACCTGGCTAAATAAAAGAGTGTGGACTTCGGAGCGCTGAAGATGACCAATTTCATTTTCCCTATCGCTGTTACAAATATAATTTAACTTGATATAACGTCGATTAAAACGTACCAAGAGCCGGTTGGCGTTTTATTTTCGTTCGGGAGCTAGCCGGTTCAGAACCGGCTGTTGGACAAAGGTTTTCGTAGATTCCTTAAACCTTTTAGTTTTTTTATAATAACTTATAATACGCCACGACCGCTTCCTATCGCATAGCATCCTATTCATTGTCATAACCATCATACAGCATGCCCCAGGCCTCTTCATTACCTCTGTAGCTGATAGTGCGTCGTAAGATAACCGAGTAAACATTGAATCAACATTTAGAAATATTTCGTTTCTACCTTCAAGGTGAGATTTCTGTGTAATGACGGGCCACTCTCTGGTACGCGAGGCTAACGCAGATGAGAATTTACAACTGGAATTTCTGTACACCATTATTTTGCTGAATATCCAACATAATCATTCACTGTACCTCAGTCTTGATTAGATTCTGAATCTCCATAAAATCAAAGGTCTTTCTATAGTAAGTTTCCTCTTCAGAAATGGAATACGCCCACCACTGTCACAAGTAAAGAAGGCGATAGCAGAAACCTATCCCCACATCTTCAACCAGTTCTGAGCTAAGTCTTCTAGTATCCTCCATGTCTTCAGCTGATCAACAAATTTCCCGCCTCTTATGGAAATCCGACGTTCGTCATCGTGTTCATAATGACCATGACTTATTCCTACCCTGAACCAGATGAATCTAATCCGCTTTCTCACGCTATATTTCTTCAACATTATATTTTAATTAGTCTTCCTTCTTGCGCCTAGGTCTCTCTCTCTCTCTCTCTCTCTACTCATCTGGTTTTCAGATTGAAATTTTGTTGTTTCCAATGTCTTAAACGCGTGCTACACGCCATATCCATCTCATCGTTGATTTTATCACTTTAATAACATCTGGCGAGAAGTTCAAATTGTGAAGTATTTCTCATTTCAATGTTCTCATCCCTGTCTTTAATCCTCGCTCATATTTTCAAAAAGCCCCCCTCAGAACTCTGTTCTCAAACGCCCTCGGTCTATATAATTCACTTGGGGTAAAAAGAAGTTTCACAGTCATAGAAAACAAAATGTAAAAATATAATCTCGTAATGTAAATACATTACTATTGAATATACCCGATCTATGGTACTCAAATATAACACTTGCGCTCATTTCAGACATTCACAAAGAAGAGGCCTTTTATTTCGCATTCAAATGTAGATTTACATTCGTATTCTTCGGATGCTTACCTGATAAAAGAGTTTCTACATTTCACTGATGAACGTATGACATGAAAAAACCATATTCAAAAACATCGTGGCCAACCTAACCACAAAAAATATCTCTCCAGTATGTTCGTTTTACTTTTTTTTTTTTTTTAGACGTTGCAAAAACTTCAGACGACTTTCATGCATTCAGCCGCTAACAGATGTTTCCTCCAAGAAATGTAACAGTCACTGAACTCACCCAGCGGCACTGTAACTCCTGGCTTCATCGTCTGTGTCCGTTCTCTGCCTCCGTCTGATAGGAAAGGCTCCGTCTGGCTACAGGAAGTGACGCCATGAAGCTGCTATGATTAGTGACTGTGTACTCCTGGCATCTCGCTGCGGGGGAAAAAAAAGAAAGTTATTCCTTAAATAATCAAGACTCAATATTGTTCTAAATACCCAGACCATTTGCCATTCGCTCGGTTTGACAAGTTGTGACGGACATTGATCTGTCTTCATGTAGTTCTCGCCAACTGGAACGACTCTTTATGAGGGTCCATGAAAAAATAGACTATTCTTTGTTCCAGTACCAGAAACTATTAAATTGAAGAGAACATTATGATATCGAACATTATTTCACTTATTCTACTATAAAATGCTAGTTGTGGTACAGCTAGACGGAGATTGGACATATCAGAGAGATGAAGCAATCTCTGAGCGCTGTTATTTACTTGATAGCAGATTTCCGACAGTATTTAGGTGAGAAATGTCTTAAATTCGACTATCATCACCGGGACTCGAACCCAGGACATATTTTCGCACTTTTTATCGCACTAAAATTTTCCCCCCCATTTCAAGGCATAAACATGCCAAGCTTGAGGAAAGTTTATGTGCCCCCTTCTATAGCCATAAGGAAACATACATATACATATCTCGGGCGCAATCGACCGGAACGTGAAGTTAACAATTCATCTCAACTTATTTCCGAGGTTAATAATGAGCAGTGCATACCACAATTACCTCCCATATAATTTCAGTAATTTGTGCTCAGTTAAGCAGAGGAAATGCTTTCTTTACTTTGTCCGTTCTGCTTTAAGTAATCTGCAATAATTTGTGCTCAGTTAAGCAGAGGAAAAGCTTTCTTTACTTCGTCCGTTCTGCTTTAAGTAATCTGCATCATGGCTACCGAAGTCTTTCAAAGCCATTCAGTGAATTAGGCTACATCGGAAGAAACAGCCTTTTCACGAATTATCTGCATTCCGGAGTCGAGACAAATGAAGAGAAACGAGCGTAAGGCGTGTACCCGCAGGCCGACATTACTTCTGCATGCAAGAAATCTATAAGTGTGTCGCTAAGAAAAAGGCATTTCATTCACAAACTTCATAAGTGACAGTGACTTTCAAATATAGTGTGAAGACTTCGTGGATTGCAACTAAGTCCAAGTTAGCACGCAAAGCACTCGTTAGGTATCGAGGATTGTAATTCGGGGAGATGAGTCTCATGAAAAATGTCTACCCTGAAGATGGAGGCGAAAGGTTTCTCCGAAAAGTTATAACCCATAACTCATAACCTAGAATATCACATTTTTCCATCACCTTAAAAACCTATAATATTTTCAATTAATCGTTTTACCAGTGTCTAAGCAGCATGAGGCAATTCCAAACATTCAAGACCTCGGCATTATTATTTTTTATTTAGTGTTCTGTCTGACGACAGGTCCATATGAACAGGATCCTTCCATCCTTTTCTCGGACTGGGACCTGTTCATATACGTTCTTGGCAGAGGATCCAGAAGTGGTTTGCCATTGCCTTCTTCTGTGTGTGAATGGAGTAATTGTTGGGATGCCACGGAGGAAAACTCCGTGTTGCCTAGACCACGGCCTTGCCCAACACAAGTTATAAATTCGGGCACCGCCGGGAATCGATCCAGAGACCCCCAAGATTACAAGGCCAGCGTTCTAACCGCTAGACCACCGTGGCGGTTCCTCGGCATTACGTGGATGTAATTGGTCCACGTCACATACAATTTCTTTTAACACATTCTCAGGGCGAAGGCGATGGAGACAGCATCTCTGAAACGTCGGTCAACGCAACATCATATCTCTGTGATTTCCAGTAATATTTCCAGGCAACGACTTTGGAATGCGGGAACAGAGTTTCAGTTGAGTGCTTTCACCATGACCTCGCTTAGTAACCGTTAGTGACAACACGTATTTTTACTCAGTTCTCTGTCCGGTCATTTAATTATCAGACTTCCCTTTGTTCACGTGTCGTGACGACAATTTAACTGGCGTTTCCATTAATAGGATAGCCGTTAGCAACCAAACCAACCAATTAAAACAACTTCCTTTAAGAACACGAAACTTCCCTTCTGGACGGAAATAAACTCTTCTGTTGCACTTAATAAGCAAATTGCATGCACAATGGAATTTTGCCGTTTTACCGACCAGAAGGGCAGGTGGCTGGCAGGACCGGATGCGTAAATATTTAACTACAGCATACGAGAAAGACCCTCCTCGTTCAAAAGCTGAGTCATAAACGTATTGTGTCAGAAACAAATGACGGGAGATTCATATTCACCAGCTCAGAGGTTACATCAGAAATGTCCTGTTGTCAGGTGCATTTTGCTTAGAGAGCTTCAGTGCCTCTGACTTCCGTTCCAGAGGAGCAGACTTTATATTCTGGCAAAGTCCGGTGTACATACTCGTATCTTGCCAGTGTATAATTTATTTTCCCCGATGTTCGAAATTGATTGATATTTATATAGGTTCTGCTTGCTGAATTTTTAAGATTTTCGATTCCAATTCGTCCATAACTGACTTACACAGAATTATACGATACAGCTTTCAAACAGAATGTAATATTTATACGGGTTACAACCTGACGGTATAATATGAATTGTATAAGGAATAAATCGATTATGTAAATCTTTTATACGTCACACTTTGCGATATGGGCTAGACAGTATTGCAGAGAAATTCTGTCCTGAAGAGCATTGGCTTTCAATAATACGTGCATCCAGAATGGAACTGACTAGCCGAGGAATGTCTCTTAGTTTCTTCTCGAACTCAGGACCCTGAACGTCTAGAGTCATATCTTTTGCCCTATTTCTTACTGTGGTCCTTTATTATAGGAAATAGATTTAATTTTTAAGATTGCTGTCTTCTGGGTTATTGCGCCGTGTAGTCTGACCACAAGGCGCAATAACCCAGAAGACAGCCATCTTCAGACTCACCGCTCTGAAAACCTCAATTTTCTTCAATCGTTAATTTCGGTTGCTTGTATCTTACTTGTTTGCCGAGTTTATACTTTTCGTCAACTGCGCACGTTACACAACGTTGAACACACTGATGATTATAAACGGTGTTGCAGAAACCACAGTGATCTACTTCAAGTTAGCCCTTCATGTTCCGGTCCCAGCAAACCATCATCATCATCTGGAATCGTCATTACATAAAATACAAGACTAACAACAATTATCACAATTATTTTAATTCCAACTTGGTTATGTTTCACAGACAGGATGCAATATTTTAAAATAAGAATCCATCTCAATATTAACCTTCCATTACGCTTAGGTATCTCAAGTTTTTCTACCAAAATTTTTGCATGCATCTCATCTTTCCGATGAGTATTGGAGACCTTTAATAACCTTATTAAATTTTATTTCTAACTTTCCGCATTTGAGTTTCATCTAAACTGCGCGCTCATAGCTTCGAATTCCAGCCAGAAGAGAGCAGTAAGTGCATCATATCCTTCCCCTGGAAGGTTTTCGTTCTTACTATACACTGCCTGTCAGATAATGGCAACTCTCAGGCAGCGCTGTTGCAACGCTGGAGAAAAACATCTCGCAAACAAACATTACTCAACATTTATGCTGTAATCTGCATTCTGCGAAACAGACTCCAATGACTGCAGGTATAAAAACATTCCATACCTGAGAAGATTTAAGGAGACTTCTTCTTTTCCCCTTGCTTTAAAGAGACGAAGGATGTTATGAACCGTGTGTTACAGCGTTATGCAGAATTACAGCAGAAAATTGTGCCGAAACCATTAATATCTTTATCGTTTAGGTTCATATTTTAATATAAAACATCTCTACTTTTGGGCGGTGCCCTCAGAAAAGATAAAGGTTCGTGCAAGTCAAAAGTGTCGTGCAATAATCACGTCTACGATTAGCGAAATTTTTCTGTGGGAAAATATGTTGTAAGGCTTTAATTTCGAATCCCGATTACATTTGGTGTGATGTGCTTTTAGGTTCTTAAATTTTGATAATAAACTACATTGATTTTGATAATGGTGATTTTAATATTGTATCCTGTCGTCCTAGCCATTTCAGAAAATTGGGACTTTGAACTTTTATAACTTGTATATATAAATAATATCCTGTATTTAACTAACATTTGTTAAGATTTGTCAGCTGCGGACGAGTGCTGAAGAACTTAACAGGGTTTTTAATATTCTTTGAGTATGTATTTAAATATTAAGAGAACTCGCCTTTTAAAATACCTCTGCAACTTTAAGTTCCAGGGGATGTCAGTCATTAGACAATGGGGTAGTCAACTCGCGTCAGGTCAGGTTCACATGGGCGTAACAACAGGTGTCACATTGTCTGTCGCCTGGCTGCACTTTGCTTCGCTCCACAAAGTAACCGTTTCACGGTGATAAGCTACTCATTGCATTAATGTCATATGACAGTAGGTCTACTGTGTCAGACTCCCGGCTTTTCGTCTTCAAGGGCAGATCCCTGAAGACGGATGAAGTATCCATCTGCTCTACTCTCATGTGGAAAAGAAACACTGATTAGTGTCCAGAAACACTAACTTTTTATTGTGTTCAATCCACGGAATAAAACGCTGTGCAGACTATAATGATGATGTTGTAAGTGACGTTGAAGACAATGGAATCATTCTTGCGTAAACCAACGTGTAAAATATGCCTACCTTAAAAGAAACGTCGAGAATACATTTATGTCGTGACACACTTATGTCTAGCAAAGAAACTGGAATATCATTTGTGATATTTGTACTCAATTCAACTTTGGACAAGATGGTTACCATAGAGACACGTCACAACTCTCATAAAACCGCTTGCGTCTGATGCAACGCTGTACTTGTAATTTTTAAGTTCAAATCACCAGTCTTCTCAAGTTCCGAAAACGAGGATAATTAAAATATATTTAAAATTTTCTTAACCCAGAAATTTGCCACGTCGAAGGCAAGTGATTTTATCATTCGTTTTTAATTAGGGTCTAATATCAATATACATTATACTTCTAAAAAAATACTTTCCTCTGCAGATACATTGCAAATGTAGATTTAAGAAACGTTAAAACTATATGAAACCCAATGTAAATTAATCTAAATTGTATTGGAATTGTTTTTCAGTGCGGTAGATACTTAACAAAATGAAAGGAAAATGTTTTCATTACTAATTGGGAAGTTCTTATCGTCACTTTATGACGGCTGTTTCAAGCTTTAATTTTATGTAATAAACTTTTTTTTTAAAACGGACTCTTGAGAAATTTTGAAATCATTGTCTTAATGTATATATATATCTCTGGTGTATTTAAAATATTTGTATATATACTGCACCTTTAACGTTTCGTGTTTCTCTAAAACATTTGTTGGTGTCATTACAACAGTGTTTTCTAAACTAAGGTCCAACAGTTCATGAAGTATTCATAGCCTGAACTTCGATTACAATTCCCTCCCACCGTCAGCAACTGTGTAGGTGGCGTAAAGATTTATATTCCTGTCGAGGGGCTATCTCCTATCGATTGTCGCTAACGCGAAGCGGTTTGCATATCTTATCACTTCGATCAAATTCCACATGCTTTGTACGTTCCCATTTCGGGAGATCAATATCGAATGATGTTACCACGTTCCATCGTCTCTCTAACAAAAATCATGCGCTGTTCCTATTGTTATATATTCGTGGTTTACTTAAAAATGCAGTCAATACAACATCGAATGACAGAAAAATTGATTAGAAATAATGTTAAAGAAAGTGGTCGTGGCCTAATTTAAGGTTCTATCCCGGCAGACACGTGGAGTGGCTGAGAAAATTACATTGGTTGTTAAAATATGTGGTACATATAATTACCACTGGGTAAAAAATCGTTTTAAGTTCCCTTAGTCGTACTGGATCGTCTTATCATTATATTTGTTAGACGTGTTACGATTTACGCTGTGAGAACTGGTTTACCGTCATGTAATATGTTCTGTGAACAAGAATATTTAACTTATCACACAGTTTTGCGTCTCTGAAGTCTGAAACAAAATTTCATCATATAAACATCTGCGACTACTAATATCTACTTTTGTCAACGTGCGTCTGAACCGTTATAATTCATAGTAAGACAGAAACTAAGAAAGAATACATTAGAAACGCCACGCAAATTCTCGCAAACTGAAGGTACACGGCGCTGAATTGAGGTCACCAGGTCAATCCTATCGGTGAAGATGCATCTCGATTTCTTACAGCCCCTCTATGGTTTCAGAGACTTACTGGCCAGTGTGAAGGCAATGTTTACATTCTGTTGTACGGAATTTAAACTTCCATTACTATTATTCATAATAAATATTACAATCTTTATTGTTATAAAAGTATTGAAAATTCCTAGTATTATACAGAGTGTCCCACGAGTCTAGACACATATGAGAACTCTGCTATTTGACAAAATACGGGAAAAAATATGGAGATAAATGTTGTTGCAAAATTATTTGTTTGCAATCTCAAGTGTTGGAAGTTTTAACCAAAGACGATCTGTCACGACGCAAACTACAACTTGACGTAAATTTGAACTTTGAATTTGTCATTTGTCTAGTGTACAGATAACCGAATAAATCTGTCGAGCACAGAGAACACGATATAAGTTAATATCTGCTTATTATATTATATTTAATTTCAGAGTAAACGTAAAGAAGATACGTAAGCAAATTTCGACAGAAAAATAAACAGAAAGGACATTAAAATAGCTCAGTGTTTTCTTGAGTACAAAACCTTGAAAGAGGTCAAAATAATTATAATTAATGGAACATTCACGCGTGTTTACCACAGTGAGTAGGTTGGACGACCAGAGACTTTTCTTTTCCGCCCCCCAAGGCTCTGTCCCCGGGAATAAATCAGCCAGTTCAACTACATGTACTGCTGTGGTTAAGAATATGTGGAGCTATACCTCCAACCCATACGTCTTCATGAAGTGGTGATTAATTAAATACAGAGATACATCTTTGTAGCATAGTAATTTATTAATCTTTAGGCAACTTTGCCCTAGAGTTTATGCTGGTAACTTTCAACTTCTTTCACATACACTATCAAGTATTTCTGTAGATGATTTACGTATGTGTACGTCTGAATATAAATTTTAACATTCAGTGCAGTTAGAAGTAAATTTCTTTAGATTCTAACAGCTGCAAATGGTCGCTGTTGTATTTTGTTACATAACGTCAGCAAAATGTTATCCCTGAGGCTTTGTATCTTAAAACTCTCAATGTCAAAGAGATCTGAAACCTGTTTAGTTACATAGTTCCTTGAGCAACGCTCTTAAAGAGGAAAAATACGAAGTACTTCAGCCACATCCGCTGTTTCCACAGAAAGCAAAATCCCCCAGGGCTGTGTTAAGTTAATTAATGCGCGTTTGCTACACTTTTAAATTCTTTAATACCAGACGTTTCTTACGTATATATGAACTATGTACAGTCCGTAGACTGTCATGCTATATGAAAATATATCCTGAGATTGTATAGTGTAGAATGCAGGTAATGGTGAGATTATTACAGTCGATAATCGAGAGGTTTGTGGCAAAGAGATATCGTGACTTATTTTAAGGTTCTGGCGCAGAAATTGCTTGGGAAAGCTGAACAAATGCATAAAAACCATAACCACTTAAAATAGTCTAAAACAATTAATGTTCTATTATTTTTTAAATTTTGTGTTCCTTTAACTGCCCGAAGTAAAAGCTCGTCTATATATTTTTAAAAATTTAATTTTCACCTCAAAAAAACAAACAAAAGAAACAAGATACTTTAGTACAAAGACTAATTGATTAATGATGTTTAAGAAAAATTGTCTGTTTTCACCGAGAATAACACGAAACTCATAGTACAAAACGCATAATTTCTCTGATTATTGAGGGAGTAAACACTTCTGAAACGTCGGTCAGTATCTGCCATCCTACAAGGCGCAGTATCCCAGAAGACCGACGTCTTCAATTTTCTGTTTCTCGCCACTTTCAGACACTTTTCAGTTATCACCACGATGATATTATAAAGTTTAAAAGTGCATACTGAGATTGTAAATAAAACCTCTGAAATTACAGTACATTAATCCTTGTGTTTGTGCTAAAACTTGAGTATTTGCATTTCGGAGACGTCGCCCTCAGGAATTTGTTACAAAATACATTAAAATTATGCCATCTTAGATGATAGTGAGA